TTTTCTTTTACTTTGTTTTACTTACTTCACTACTTTAACAAGAAGCTAAGAAAGATCTAAGTTTCAATTATTACTGAAAAACATAGAAAGTTTAGAGCGAAGTGCTCTGCAAAATGTCGAATAATGGAGGATTTTTGACCACACAGGAAACGAAACGTCTAGTAGTAACAAACAGTAGGAAATGTCTATCGAAAAGTTGTCGCAGTTATCGAACATTTATTATCCAATTTCAAGTTACTGCCTTCAATTTCTAGTGAAAAAAAGACAAGATACAGGTGAAAAAAAACTATAAATGGTCCATCAAGCTACTCCTTTTCGCAGAATTGCAGTAAAATATGCTTACTTTGAGAGCTCGAGCTTTATGCGGGGTTAACAACGGGCGCACCTTTGTACATCCCAAGGACTGTTAGTGCGGTTTAATGTACTCGGATACCACAAGATTCCCCTTCATTCTTTTAATGGAACAATTCTTCGTGTTGTGCGAAAGCATTGCGGAAGAACAAGGGGATTTAGACCATACCCAGGCCGTACCCAGATGTCTTCACTTTTATTTAATTCCTATTCTTTTTTCATGCCAACGTACTATGTGAATACAATCACTAGGACGCTGAGATACGACTAATACTCTGAACTTCAGCTGCGCTTCAAACTCACGATTACCCTTACGGAGGCTACATGTACTCCACCACAACAACCGACGCCCTTGCCTGGCCTTCTTTCTCTCAACCATGGCTTTACTCTATCGATGCTGTTAGCAATCATATGTAAACGGCCGTAATCTACGGAGCACAAATCGATATTGAAAATACTTAAGCTAGCACTGATCTAGTTAATCTAGAGCAAAAGCGTGGTCTAGGGGAAGGGAAAAACAGCGTCTCAGTTGGTGGGATGGATAGTGGCCGAGCTTTCGGAAACGGTAATCGTGGCTTCGAAAACAACCAGAGGTTCCAAGTTTTCCTCATATCTCTGTATTTAGAGATTTAATGACAAAAGAGTTCCGAAGAGCATTCATAACGTGTATTTACACATCACTTCTGAGACATTTCCATAAAATCTGGAAACTTCCGATGTTCATACGAAAAGGGAAATGCATATTTCAAAACATCTCACTAGTTTGTAGTCATGGTCGTGTGTAGCGCATTTGTTAGAGGTTCAGTGAAATATACATTAGGTCAATCAGTGGTTCGATCTCGTTCCTAAAAATTACCAAGTCTTCTATCTCTCCGAAGTCGTAAGATTGATATCAGACTTTTCTCGAGAATAAACACTGACTTGATACATTGGTAAGCCAACGGAATTCGTAGTATAGACCAGATATTCATTCAATGCCTCTGCGATGCTCGGTGGAATCGAATGCATGACGCATTCCTCAAGGATTGAGCGAAGCTAATCGATCGATCCTCTTTTATTTTCTACTTCATCATCAAATCAACAAACAGAAATCACTTTTAAACTTCCCCAATATTCGGTACTTATATACTCCAGTTTTTCTTTCCGAATACTAAGGTGTAGTCAACAGACGTGACAACTTTTCTGTTTTGTTCAGATGGTTGTCCGTTTCGGGCCATATTATTCGATCAGTTTGCATCAGCGATGATCGAGAGGACATTAGAATGGGGAGAGAAAAAGGATAGAACTGAGGTGAGATTCAATGTTTTTCATCAATAAGCAGACACGAGGTTGTTAATATAGAATTTATTAGAACACAATTGCTGACGTTTCGGCGGTTTCGCCTTCTTCAGAGCCTGGAAAGGTCAAATTGAGATGCGATCTACTCAGCCAAACACTTTCATAACCCTAGCAGATAAAACTTGATAAATCGATTTGTATTCGCATAAGAAACAGCTTCATTCAAACACCTACCGTTTATTTGTCGTAAGTATTTAAGTTAGTTGGTGGATAGCCGCCGAGGTGAGATTAATTCAAAATAGTTCAGTTGAAGGATCTTTGTAATTTAAACGGATTGTTAAGGAATCATGGAGAGTGTTTTTCATACTGAAGCCATTTATTTTTATTAATTCTTCTAGAAATGTGAAGCCAGTCATTCCTTCAACGTCATATGGATACGCGATCGACTGGACTTCACAAGTCATGTCGTCACAAGCATTCGATTCTAGATCCACTCACTTGTTTCTTCATGATCCTCATTCATGGTGATGGTCACCTTCAATCATGGTGTCTGCTGTTAATACCCTTCCATAATTCATAAATCGCTTCCAGTCCTGAACATCGTTGGTCGACGGCAGACACGAACACGTCTACTTATCTTATGTGCGATCATCCTAGAGGGCTCCTATCCTACCTTTTTTGATGTCCACCGTACTATTTTTTTCATCCATCTGTTGTCAGCTTTTCTCATTGTAGGATCGGCTGATCTCTGTTTTGCTTACCTTGTGTATTCCTTTGGATTTCAATCATGGCATAGCCGTCTGAATAGCATATTCTGACTAGAGGTTGCGTGAGCCCGTTCTCTTTCAGAAGACATCGTTCAAACCTTCTGCAAGTAGTGCGCAAAATTCTCTACGTAGTTGATATATCGACGTCTCTGCCGCACATCAAAGCGCATGAAAGACCGTTGAATCAAGCAATGACTGCGGCGTTTTAGATTCGTCAGTTTATCGATGGCTTCCTCAAGAGGCCTGAATACCGCTCGCGATGCTCTCTCACTTCTACAGAATTCCCCTTTATGTAGTTTTCCAAGTTCGTTGAACATCCTAGGTAGAGATATCTATTTTGTTCCGTTTCATGCCAAACCGTCGGCTTGCTAAAAACTGGCTTTTCTTTCACTCTACTCGCACTCATGTTTTCCCTCACTTTGTTGAGCTCCTTAAGTTGGTCTCTTCATCATCAGTATCCATCAAAAACGTGGCAATTTCGTAGGTGAAACGGGAACTTCGTAAGAATATACCTACCATCAATGCGTATATCGTTTCCATTTCAATCGAAAATATTGATGAGCAAAAAAAGCGAAACTAGAATATTTTGAGTTTAACAAGAAGGAACTTTGAAAACACTTTGAAGGATTATGTATAATTTCACTACTGAAAAGTTGTCCTACTACAAATATGATAACACCTATGCATCTTCTTTTAACCATCGACAAAACCAGATGTGTTTTCGGACGACGAGCGATTCCAAAAATGGGGTGCGTGTAGCGTGGTGGCCCGAGATGCAGAGCAGTACACATTGAGTCGATCCCCGCACCCTAGGCTCACCAAGGCCTTCATCTCTTCTGGGTCGCGAAATTGATACCAGATTTGTCTGGGAGCATAGCAGCACTGGCTCAATACATCGGTTGCATTCAGTCACCTCCAACGATGCTTGGTGAAGTCGAATGCATAGCGCATCCCTCAGTGATTGATTAATGCAGGAGCTTATCCTTTCCTCCTTTTAAATGATTCTAATAGTAGACTTGTACTGCTTAGTACTAACGTGGTTAGAAAACTTCCGACATTTGACCATGATTTCTCATGTAAAGGCGATATGCATCACATTTGATTGAAATGATTAAGGTTACACAAACGGGTTGGACAAAAATCGTCCTCTTCGTAGTGGAACAGATTAAGGAAGGATTCCACGATGAAGTGAAGCGTCAACGTCGAGTCCGACCACGTAATCTCGGGGTGAGAATTGTTGCACCTAAATTTTACTATTTGTTTGTTTCACAACTAGAAAAAACTTCCACAACTTATCTAAAAGGACCCGATACGAGGAAGAAGCTGTTTCTGCGGCTGTAAACAAGATCATGAGCACATTATGTTAAGACCACAAGGAGAAACGACTCTATCCCACGTCGCATGGAAATAACACGTCCCATCGTCTTAATGTAAATCCAAAACTGTCTTCGCGAAGACGATTTATAGAGTTTTTCTCAAATAAGTTCCTTCACACTGAAACATTTTCAATTTTTGCAGTGCTCAGAACACACATCTTTAACTGAGGTATCCAGTCATTCTCCAGCAAGAAACGTCCGAGAGATCAAGAGATTTAACACTGTCGACAACCTGTAATATAATGATAGAGTTGGAAACTCATTGTAACTACAACTTTCATGTATAATGTGATATAATATTCAAATAACCTTCTCAGTCTAAGTAGAACCAGAGTCTAGAAAACAAACTTTGCACTGGGGCTAAGCGGTGAATAGGTGTTCTCAATGCTCTGTACTTGTGAAAAGCCGTTTTCGGACGACGGAATGGAATCGGTGCATTTAGAAAAATATCGTACGAAATCATGCGAAGCTCTAATAACGTTTTGACTTGATAATAGACTAGACTAGAACAAAAACAGACTAGATTATTCTTCATCACACAAAAGAGCTATCTAAGAATATGGAAACAAATAGAGAATGTAGAGGATAAGTAAAAAATTAGAGAGACACGGAGAATGTGTGAAGGAACTAAGTAATAGGACGGTGACCTTACGAAACCGGTGCACCGTGCCCGTGACAGGACTCGTGAACCGTACGTCTTGAACTCAACGCGCACTCCAATCACACGCCTCTAACACTTACTTCGGGCGACATGCAATACGAATCAAGCCGCGATCGCAAAAGGGTTAACGTGGTTGCTTGAGCCAATCAACTTCTTACTATTCTTACCTATTAACCATTCGGCCACAGTGGCTGTACGGGTGTAAAAAAAAAGCGTGAATATTTACAGCTTATATTTACCGACCCTATCATATCATTGACGGCATGTGGTGCAGACAGAGTTAATGCAGTTTTGTTCAGAATGTCGTTATTTTCAGGTATTTTTTTTGTTTGTAAAAGGGAACCAAAATCATATTTCATCACTCTGTTTTGTATTGTTTCTTTTAAGAAATAAATCTCATTGTAAATATTACAAATCATGAGCATCTCAACGTAAACACTAAATAAGAAGCAGAAAGCATAAACAAATGTGGCATGGACATAAATTCTAGAGCAATGGTGCTGAATTATAAAGGCACACAAAGATAATAGGAAGTCACATAAACCACAATAAAAGCATGAAAACCAGCTACTCAGAAATTCCACACTGTTCAAGGCTATAGTTGTATAAATCCTGACAAGCTTGGTCGTTTAACGCCAGTTCGTTTTCCGTACTCAACTTGCAGTCTCTGAAAATGTTAATAAAAATGTAACCCGACATCTAAATCAATTCTACTTAAAAGTTTATAATCAATTTAAAATGCTATAGAACTTACTCGAAGTATTTTCCGCTGACGCCATCAATTTTCTTGCTGAGGGCGAGGTAAAGAGAGGTCTGAGCGCCGTCACGATCAGTTTTCATAAACAGCCATCTAAATATCGTTGCATTCATAACAGCAAGACGCCTTGTGATGCTCTATTCTTAGAGAACAAGAGTTCAAAAAGAGAAAAAAGAGATACGAGTACAGGATACATAGGAAGATGCGCTACATTGTACCTAAACGGAGCACTCAATTGACGTATTGGTGTTTTGGCAACCAAAGTAGATCGGATTAGGTTGGTGTTAACAGCACCAGGATGCAGAGAATTCACGGACACATGGTGAATGCCTTGTTTATGAAGACGCTTACTAAGTTCACGAGCATGCATCACCTGAATAGAGTCACCACAGAGCGATTAGGCCATAGGATCAAAACAAAAACTGTTCATTACAAAGAAAATTTCCTTTCTTCTTAAAGATTCTCCAGTTGTAAGATTGTGTTTGCGAAGGTGAGGTCAGATAATATGCTGTAACCCCGTAACTGTTTCTATTATGACAATCCAGCCTACCAGAAAACTTCCTTGGATATTTGCACAGCATGTCCTCACTGGTGGTGCGGGCTCCAGCACAATCTCCACTTTTTTGAGTTTTGCTGGTTTAGCCATTGTGTTTTCCTGGAGTTCCAAGGTCAACCTAGCCAAAGTTCGCCCCAGGTCGTCACTACCACAGGCAGCTACCACCTTTGAGGATCACAGGGAGATTTGCCACCATGCGACTAGCTTGATACCAGGGTGGTTGTGGATCCTGGTATTGGTTTAGTCTTGGCAGGGTTTCCTGATGGAAACGCCTAACTCCTTCTCAGCCTGGAAGACCTTGCCGGGGGGATGAACATTCCTGCTGTACATCGCAGCACAACATCCAGGAACACCTCTCAGCCACGATAAGGCGATAAACTGCGAGGAGGTGCTTGTCAGAATACATCAGGTAACTTCTAATCCACTTTTCGTAAACAGATTGTCATCTTAGTCTACTGAAACCTTCGAAGACTTCAACTCCACAACTTATGCACCTGAATAATTACATAACTTGTTGCATAATCTCGAACCTAGATAATCCACCTGCTACTGTAATATTGTAATATTTTCTTACCTATTAACCTCAGGTAGCCACATTAACAATTTCGTTAACGAAGCACTCCACCTTTATTAAGTTGGTAAATCGTACCACACTTGTCTGGGAGGATGACAGCACTGACTTGATACATCGGTAGGATACCGCAAGCCGTTGTATATTCCAGATGTGTATTCACTCACCTCTAACGATATTGGGTGGGGCAAGCCGTTGGGATTGATCAACCCCGAGTGCTTAACCCTTTATCCTTCTATCAAAACAAATTTATAAAAAAGAAATTGTCCAAACATTCCAAGAGAGGACGATATAGTCCAACAGTTCTCACATTTGCTAACTTGCTGCATACATAAGGCTGAAACAATCCAAACTTCGCCTTATCATCAATAGTTTGAAGATCCAATGCCTTTGCCATTCGCTGCCATTTGGATGAAACAATGATAATTCTCGATTTAGGAGCCTTTTCCAGAGCTGGGAGGAGTAGATGTGTGAGAAGAAAATGACCTAGACATACAACTTTTGCATCATCATATATCAGAAATGAAATGAGCTACACTTCCTCTGTAATCTAGCTACAGCTGTCAACGTTGTGTAGAAAACTCTCTAAAACTGGTAATAATAACAACAACAGTAATAATAATAATAATAATAACAATAATAACAGTAAAATAAAATAATAATGGTGACCCTTGCTTAGATACTTGAATGGTCTATCTTCACTGGTGCGAGCTCCAGCACAACTTCCATTCTTTCGGAGTTTTCCTGGGTTATTGTGGTTCCCTGGAGTTCCGAGGTCAACCTATCAACCGTCCCAAGTTATCATCACCACAGGCAGGCACCGCCCTTGTGGATCACAGTGAGATTTGCCACCATGCGACTAGTTTGATACCAGGACGGTGGTGGATCCTAGTACTGGTTTACTCTAAACTGGTTTTCTTAATGGAAACGCCCGTCTCCTCAGCTTGGGATACCCTGTGCAGGATGGATCCACACGTTGAACATTGCAGCCCGACACCCAGAAACACCTCCCAGCCACGATGAGGCGGTAAACCGTTGGAAGAAATTATAGTGGTAATAATAATAATAACAATAATAGTAGTAAACCAGAATAACTCTTGAATTTAGGTGCAAAGACAGAATTAAAGAACTGAAGCGAAGAGTGGTAAAATACAAATGAAACCAAACGGTAAACACAGTGGAAGAAGCTGATGCCTACTTCATCTCGTACAGATTTAGGTCAATGCAAGCAGCTCATAACGAGAAATAAAGGAGCACCGCCTATGTACCGAAAAATTAGCGCTTGTACGGTAATTTGTTAAGCTTGCTTCTTTTTAAAGGATAGGAATCAGAGAAAAACTTCTGTAAAAATAAATATCAACAAAAGATGAATCTCATCGATTTAAATGCTACCAAGGTGGTTGGTTTGCCATGTGAGTTCATGTCCATCAACAGTTTTTTCATATCTAGGATACATCATCACTCCAGCATTGTTGATAAGTATGTCGATCTTCTCTTCTCCTGAAGTATGAAAACCGTTGTAATACACACTATAAATTACCGCTTAAAAAAGAAAACTTAGAACATGAATGGGTGAAGAGCCCAAAGGTACAACTACTATGATGCTGAGATATTCGCAAAACTCCGGATCGCATGCTGTCTGCAGTGGAGAGCGAATCTCGCTATTACCCTCTCCGGAGGCTAAGGTGTTCACCACCGCACCCGACGTCTCCTTAGTATCACCTTTCTGTCAGCCGTGTCTTATTGGTGCCATCAGTGATCACCCGTTAACGGCATTAATTTTGGGAAACACAAATCGGAATTGAACCCACTCCTAAGGTAGGAGTGGGTTCAATGCCGATGTTCTATGAACACAGGTTTATAGGACCAAATAAAACAACTAACTGCCTAATAATTCCTTTGCACACTCCCTAATACTGGTAAAGTCTGCTAGGTTGCATTTTAAGTCGATGAGACGCGTTGAGTCACAACCCATCTGCAAAAATTTGAATGCGTATATGAATGAGAACTCAGAAAGTCGACGACAAATATTGATGATCTTTATACTTTTCGGAAAAAAAAGTTTTAACGAATTAGCAAAGATGATTTTCACGATAGGAAGGTAATGCTTTAACGCTCTCTCTACAGCATGAATCATATACGACTCGTCTATTCCTCCAACGGTTTCCCGTCTCATCGTGTTTGGGAGGTGTTCCTAGGTGTCAGGCTGCGATATACAGCGGGGAGATTCATCCCCTAGCAGGGTCGCTCAAGCTGAGTAGGAGTCCAGCGTTTCCACTAGGAGCCCGGCTAAAAGTAAACCAATACTAAGACCCACCACCGTGCTAGTCCTAGTAACTAGTCGCATCGTGGCAAATCCCCCTCTGATCCATAGGGACTGCAAATGCCTGTGATGGTGACGAAATGGAGAAAACTTTGGCCAAGTTGACCTCGGGATTCCAGGGAATCATAATGGCTAAGCCAGTAATACTCCGAAGCAATGCGAATTATGATGAGGTCCGCACAACTAGTGAAAGCAAGCCATCCTAGTATCCAAGTAAGGAAATAATAAAACTATTAGAATGTGCAGATACCTGTGAACAAAATACAAATTCCCGTACTACACTAAAAAGAAATTTCCACCTTCTGGAGACCACAAAGGGTTTCACCTCAACGATTGTAATAGGCGGCGAAAAGATTCAGCAATCAAAATGACATCTAGCAAAAGGCCACGGCGCCTCCAACCGCATTATGTTTGCGGCTGCCATGTCTGCGTTAAAATTTTCTACGACTGCCATATCCAAAATTGGATTATAAACAAATTTAAAAAAGTAATGATTTAGAAGGAAATACTTAGCCTCAGGACGACACAGTCTCTTCTATAAACCTGTTAAGTTCTTAACTTCGCAATTCACACTGTCGAATAACTGTCGATAATTTGTGAAAAACCAACCTGGTCGCAAAGGTACTGATGATTTGGAACCGAAATATTGGATAAAAACACGATTTTATTTCATCAGCCTTATTAATTTGTAGCAAATCACGACTTTTTCGTCGAATAAATAACGAATGCTTTTCAACAATTGGACTACTTGGGTAATTGTGGACAAGATAAAAAAATGTTTGCTCCGTCGCCTCAAAGTCATATAAAAATTCTTGAAGTACTAACCTAGAGTAGGGTGAAGTAGTTTGATTTTCTACGCAAAAAAAGTAAACACAATCAGGGAAATCTTAACATGAACGGGACAGACGTCAATTAGGCTTCCAACGACATCGCCTTGTTCTTTTCGATGCAATGCCACATCTCAATCGTCTCCAAATCCCAGATAATGATTTACAGCGAGATTTTAAAAAAGAAACATGTCGTCATGATTGCTATCCAGGTATCTTGATGGAAAAGCTATGTTATTGTAATCGGTTTCATTTCAATGAATAATATTCACTCTGAGCATAAGTACTCGCTTAAAGTTGAAAGAGTAAACTACTCTAGACTACCTTTCAGTCAAGTAGAACCCACATCATTCCTCAATCCCCAAGCTGACATATTCCGCGTTGTTTATATTATCAAGTACTTGCATCCTCCAAAAAGTAAGCGCCAGTTTTTTTGCTACTTTTATTTTATCATGACATTCGTGTCCTTACGTCTACTTCTCTTTATAAGCAAAACAATTTCATGGAGAAACGTATCGTAGCTAGTTAACAAATGGAATCATCCAATTAAGGTAGAGATGTAAAGGATAAAAGATAAAACCTTCGGCGTTGATCAATCCTTGAGCGATGCAGCATGCATTCGACTTCATTAAGCACTGTTGGAGGTGACTGAATGCATATCTGGCCTTTACAATGACCCGTGGTGGTCTACCGCTGCATCGAGTCAGTGCTGCTATCCTCCAAGACACGTATGGTACCAATTTGCCGACCCCAGAAGGATGGAAGGTTTGGTGAGCCTATGGCATGGAGGTCGATCTCATGTGTATTGCAGGGCACCTCTAACCACTGGCTACACACCAGAGGTTGCGATGTATCATTAAAACTGACTAAGTCCAAAAAAATTCCAACAAAAATGAGTGAATGAAATGAATCCACATCTTAATCGAATAATGGACGTTCTTAGAGAGATCACGTGAGCAGTGATCCCAAGAATAAACCATACGATGATTACTAAATAGAACGTAAGAATTACCTGTGCCAATCTGATCTTCGCGTCAACTGCGCGCTCCTTGCTTCGACAGAGCATGTACACCTTGAAATATTCTGTCGAAGGGAAGGATAGCAACGATCGTCACATTATATATGTAAATTACAAGGAGAAAAGAATAATGTTGTAAAGCTGGTCAGGCGACGAATCCCCTCATCACGAAGGTTTCTACAAAAGAGATGTGGTTGCTCAAGACAGATCAGAATTTCCTTTGAAGTAACACAAATTTTCCATCCACAATGTTGTCAACAGCAGTAAGGGAATGGCCATGAGCATTTTGTATATCAACACCCTCTTTGCAATTCAAATTTCCTTCTCCTCAGTGATGAAAGAGAGCTAAATGAGCACTCACAAACCATAATTGTGTTTAAATTGTTGAGTTTACAAGAGGCAAAATAATTATGATTGCAGACGAAATTGTTTTATTCGGCTAACGTTTTGACGTCTTCGTATTCACCAGAGCCGATGACCCGAATCGATGGTCTACGGACGATGATCCGTGTTTATACCCATTCGTGTCACAGGCTAATTACGTAGTTGGTTTTGGGTGCTCCCGTTGTCCACTTTTTACTTGCAGTACGCCATTAGAAGAATCACCACGTAACTTCGTACTAATCTGCTCTGAGAAGACGAACAACTGTGGACCATTGACCCGAATAATGGGCTCTGATGAAGACGAAGACGTCGGAACGTTAACCGAATAAAATTGTGTTATCGACCTCGTATAAGCTTAACAATTTAAACACTTGTTGACTATTTCACTACCGAGATTAAGCTAGGGTCGCTATGAAAATCTTAATTGTTCCAAAACTCTACAAACCTTAGCTTTCGCAAGATTCAGTCCTCTAACCGTTTCAAGTCCGATTCCACTGTTCGCACCAGTTACTACTGCCACAAGTCCTTTTGCTGAGACGTGCTCTGTGAACTGGGCACCTTTGAAATAATTCCTACAAAGCAAACAATTATTTTTAATCCACTCTCTCCTGTTCGCCAACTGCTTAAGTTAGGCTAAAAATTGCCGAGTTAGGGGCAAGCAGCATATTCTTTAAGCTCTTCGTTTCTTAGTTTTCAACAAGTCCCAACTTCCATTGAGTACTTCGAAACCAAACAACCTACTATAACTTTTTACATGATTAGGGTGACGGGAGGTTGGTACAAAAGTTTTAATGTACGATTATATAGGAATTTCTCTATACGTAAACAAAATTTATCAAATTCATACCCTAGCTCTTAAATAGCCGTCAGAGGCCAGGGATACCCACTGGGCATCGACTATCCGAGGAACACGAACAGCATCACACTTTTGGTACGATACCTTTCACTTCTGTTATTCTTGGGAAATAAGCGTAGAAAGCTTCCTCATCAATCTCTGTTTCGGCGGAATGAGTGGGGTTGTAATCAGATTGCTCGGCACTTCAGCGGAAGACTTGGCACTTACTCTACTCATTAAAATGTTCACCTTTTATGACTGGCAGATGAAAGAAGACCACATCAAGGATTACAAGCTGTTTGTAGAAAAACATAAAACTTGTGCCGAATTCGCCTCAGTTCCTCGAACAAGAGGTTCTGATCGCATCTTCATTACCACAGAGTTGCTCGAAAATAGTACACTGAAGACTGACTCTGTTTCAATATTCATAACATAGCTAATAATAAATGCCAGCTGCAGAAGATTTTCGCAGGAGGATTTACATCAGTATGGCTTGAAAAATTGAATGGAAGCAGCTCAAAAAGGCCCTTGTCTGAAAAAGTGCCGTCATTATCCTTGCAACTATAATGTCCGGCTATCTGCCCTGATGAACGAAGAAAGGACTATCACTAAAGCCGGCCATGATATGAAATTTTTCCCGCTCCATAAACCCCGCCTCGAACTCCGAAATCTCCGGTGATAAAAAAACCGCCCGGGATTCCATACTTCGGTGTTTAAGTTGCAATAAAAAAGATACAGTTCACTGCGTTGATCAATTCCTGAGGGATGCGCCATGCATTCGACTTCATTAAGTATCGCTGGAGGTGATTGAATGCATATCTGGCCTTTACAATGACTCGCGGTGGCCTAGTGATGTATAGAGTCTGTGTTGCTATCCACCCAGACAACTATGGTACCAATTTTGCCGGCCCCGGAGGGATGGAAGGCTTGGTGGGCCATGGGAACTGGGGATCGATTCCACGTGCACGTCGCGGTGGCGCGCCTCCAACCACTGCGCCACAAGCGCCCGAGTTGCGATATAAAGCATGAAAAGAGGCACAGTTCCAGAACCCGGTAATATCACCACCGATTTCCTTAGAGCTAGTGGCCACAAATTACATGTACTTCTCGCATTCCATATGGCATCATACTTTAGAAAGAGAAAACCCCAGACCACTAGAAGACCTTGCGCACGGCCATCATACCTAGGCAGGGTGACCAAAGCCGACATTTCTTTCTCTTCCCTCTTCCAATCTTTAAAACTAACGTCCAATATGCTTGCTGAGAAACAGTTCAGGAAGATTACCTTTTTGCGCAAATCGACGACATTGGATGAGGCATAAATAGTGGGGCAAGCATGATTCCCACAAGGATTCTTCTGAACGGACCACATCGAAATCGCATCTTGGGTCGGAGAATTTTGTCGATAATACCACCTTTCCCTTGTTCTAACACTTATAGACTATGAAAACGTGTTTGACCGCGTCGAAATGAATGTAGTCCTATGATAGCTCGTTGACAAAGCAACCAAGCCGTCCTATACGCGAACACTAGCTGACTGTTGTAGAAACTACGCCACCAAAGCGGTTCAGTAAGGCGATAAACTACCGTCAAAGCTGTTTAGCGCAGCACTCCAGTGAATAATGAAGTCACTCGAGTGAGATTAGAAAGCCATACGTGTTGATGGAAAATTCTAGTATAATTTTCTTTTTGCTGACGAAATCGTTCGCCATCTTTTCAAAAAGTACCAAAGAAGAAGACACGATGCTCAGTGAGACCAACGAAGCAAGGGAAAAGATTGGTTTCCTCATAAATAGGACAAAAACCCAGTTCAAGAAGAACCCATGGTGCCAAGGCCGACAAATCGAAGTGGTTGGTTTTCTGATCATAGAGACCATCTCGTACGTGTACCTTGGACGTTCACTGAACATTGAGAACAACATGAATTAGAAACTAGGTAGAAGAAGGAAAGCACCATGAGCGGTATGTGGGCCTGTCAAAGAAGCTACCGACCACCCAACGGACCCAAAGTTACGCACTCACCTTTTTGATTCAACAGCACTCCCAGCGCTCTGTTGTGGAACAAAATAATGAGTTGGCACCTCGATTACATCAAGAAATCTGCGCACCATCCACAAAGCGCTTGAACGATGTTTTCTGAGATCGAGCTAGTACTCACAACGTTCGGCCGGAATGAGCAGCAAAGATCTTCGAAACCTATCTCATCTTCGGTATCCAGGAGGGTATAAATCGATTATGAAACATAGATGGGCTACTCACATAATAAGAAGAAAAGGTGACAGATGGACGAAAAGAACTGTGGAATGGACTCCAGGAGAATGCAAGCGTCCTCTTCGAAAACCACCCAAACGATGGAAGGGCATATTCGTGAGTACCGTCAATAAACTGCACTCCCAGATGGCAGCGATTTTAAGATTACAGAATGCTCCTCGCGGATTCTACCATATTCGAAGGAGACCACCACCACGGACGACGATTGCAGAATAGAGAAATGGATGGAAGTTATGCTGGGGCTGGCAAAACCAATGAAGAAAAGCCATCCAAGTATCCAAGTGTACATGACATCTAGTGATGACAAATGGGAGAAGAAATTTTTAGCGACACCAGAAAACGAAGATATCTGATGCAATAGCAAGGTAAAGCATATAATTACTATTTTTTATTGACATGACCCATCCTCACATCTACTGCGTGAATCCCATCTTTTCTTACATCCAATCATTCCTTGGCATCCATCTTCTACAAAGCCCCTCGAATTTTTGCGTATGACTTCGACTATTGCTCGGGGATTTCAGACTTCGCCATGAATGCTGTTGAATGCTTGTCGAATATTTTCTCTCTGGAATTCTAGGATAGCCGTAATACGGAATTTCAACGTGAATTGGAGGGAGTAGGCTGGTCCAAGACAAATCTGGTATTAATTTCGCGACCCCGAACGGATGGAAGGTTTGGTGAGCCCGAGGCAGCTACGCGGAAGACCGCGCTCATGATGGACGGCATCACTATCACTGCGGTATCCCTCATAACACGTACAAACATATAGGCCATGGCTGGGTAGAGGTCTTTCGCTCAAGTGCCATCCATTTTCAAGGGTAATTGATTCGGAAGGTGAATAGAAAAGTATATAATTGCAAGTGACCAGTAGAAACAGCGATAGGTTAACCAAGCAACCTTCAAAGCTTCAAAGAAAACGGTGGCTATCTACCACTATCTCTAACACAGGTAGCAAAAAAAGTGATAATGAAGCACTATCACTAACCTGATAAGGTACATAGCGAGGCTAATCAGGACGCCCACGAAGACATAAGTCACAAATGAATCCGAACCCTCCGTCGGTATATCCATCAGAGCCTGTTATCAAGTAGAAATGGAACAGTCACTAATTCAAAACTGGAGTCAAATCGACATAGACGAACGTTGTTAAAACTCTAGTACTTCAGTCATTGAGGCTAAGGCTCAGGCTTAGACGCCTCCCCAATTATAGGAAACCGTAGGCGAGTGAGTGGTCCCAAAACCTTAAGCAAGTAGTACTGAACAAACGACATTCCTAATGGGTTCACCATTAACACCAGCTGAGAAAACTGTCCACTTGGACGACCTCACAAAAGCCTGATAAGTTTTCGTGCCCTAATGCGAATTAGATGTGCACGTTACACGATGTAGTAGGTCCCGCATTTGGCTTGGCTTGCTATCTATAATTTTACTAGTAATTCGCACAATCGACTTTCTGTTAGCCTCGATGTTCATCAAATAGTTCCTAACATTCTGGTTTAGCATTGAATAGGGGCGCGTTTAGCGCAGTGGTAGGAGGGGCTGTGCAAGACGCATAGGATCGATCTTCGTGCCTCAGGCCCACCAAGCCCTCCAACCCCCCAGGGTCGGCAAATTGGTGCCGGACTTCTCTGGGGGTTAGCAGCACTGGCTCGATACATGGATAGGCCACCGCGATTCATTGTAAATGCCATGTATGCATTCAATCACCTCCAACGATGCTTAGTGAAATCGAACGCATGACGCATCCCTCAGGCGTTGATCAACGTCGAGAGTTTTTAAAGCTTTATCCTTCATTCTTATTGAGCAAATACGAGGTGTTACTTTATCGTTTGTTGACGGTAAAGCTGTCGTTTCGGCCGCTCTCGACTTCGTCAGAGCTAGGAGAGGTCGAGTTGACCACAATCAAGCCAGCCAGACACCTCCATAACCAAATAGAGAAATTGCTAAGCCAAGATTTCAACCACATTGAACACAGAATAGCTTCCTCACGGACACCGCTTCTTATGGGTCTTCCAGTTCCGAATGTGCGAGGAAGCCATTTCGTTTTTAATGCGATTGAAATCTTGGTTTAGCAGTTTCTCTGTTTGATTATGGAGGTGTTTGGCTAGCTGGCTTGAAGTCAACTTGACCCTTCCAAGCTCTGTGGAAGGCAAAATCCGCCGAAACGTCAGATTTTTCGTCAATAAAGAATAGAGTAACAATCTCGTGTTTCGTATGAAATGCTGAGATATTTGCAAAACTCTGGACCGAAGGTGTATGCGGTGAGGAACGAACACGCGCTATTGTCCTTACCGGGGACCAGCGCACTTCACCACCACACCAATCTCGTATTTGCTCATCAAGAGAGTTATGGTTTTAGTTTTGTTCTAACTAGTGAGGTTTTAATGGACTTACCTTCATTGCTTCTAGTATGAGACGTGTTCATATTTCGCATGCTCGGTCTCGGTCACGCTCCCGATCTCCTCTGTTACGAGGACCAAAGCCAGTAATTTCTAAGAGCCAACCTGTTAACATGCTTGATCAGGCTGCTCTTCTGGCTGTTAGAAGTGAGTCCTTTCAAAGTTTAGTCATTTTCGTTCTGTGGTTATTTCTACAGGAATCTTCATATATGTATATACACACGTAAACGTGTACACAGTGTATCTATGCCTTCCAACGGTTTACCACCTCATTGTGGCTGTAAGGTGTTTCTGGGTGTCGGGCTACGATATAGAGCTGAAGGGTTCATCCCTCCAGCAGGCCCTTCCAAACTGAGAAGGCGTCCGGCGTTCCCATTACGAAGCCCTGCTAGGAGTAAGCCAATACCGGGATCCACCACTGTCGTAGTATCAAACTAGTCGCACGGTGGCAAATCTCCCTCTGATCCACAAGGTCCTGGGTGGTGGCAACCTAGGGCAGACTTTGGCCTAGGTGAGTTCAGGCCTCCATGGAACCACCATGGCTAATCCAGCAAATCACCGAAAAAGTGGAAATCATGCCGGGTCCTCATAACCAATGAGGACGAGCCATTCAAGTATCCAAGTAACGTGTATCTCTACG